AATTAGAGAAAAATCCATTTTACCGGATGACTGTGCTTGATTACAAGGATTAATAGAAACTATCTGCGATCTATTAAGCAGATGTACGTCACTGTAAATCAATAGTTTTCACCTGTAATTAGCAGCGATATAGGCTCTCTGCGCGTTCAAGTATTATTGTCGTGACAAACGGTTACCATGGCAACCGTCAATAATGGATTTGTTACCTGGCGCTAAAATGGAGCGATGTTTAGCTTTGTTGTTGCCGTAACTATGAACGATATACAGTAACACAAATATAAATGTAATTATAAAATTGTGTATATAAATATTATATGTATGGTAGATTCTGGTCAAATTTACCATTTAAATTGCTTAAGTTGTGTTGCCTCCCATTATATAGTTTGAGGGATTTTAATATCAAAATAAAAAAAGAAGAAAAGCTGAAGTACTAACAGTGTAGAGTGCGGTCAGATTGCACGGCTAAAGGCTTATCAGTAGATGAAGGGTAAAGGTCAAATTCAATCGGTTAACATATGATCATAAATGTGTCTAATGAACGCACTTAAATAGCCAAAAAATGTTTGAGTAATGAACAAATGCGCTTATAAAATTTTAAAAAGTAAAATATTAATGTATCTTTCGAAAACTCTGTGTCTTTGAAATATTTTGTTTGAGTATAAAACAATATCATTAAATACACGTTCTGAGTCGCGAGAAAAATCATTGAAAACTAATGGTTTTCACTAGTTCATTTTTAATTTTTTAAAGAAGTATATTTTTTAGAATTTTGAAGGAATCCATGTTCGTGCTTAAGTGTCAAAATGAAACTGTTTGGATTGGGCATTGAACTCACGCTTTTACAAAACATACGGCGAATGTTACCGGGTGATACGACCTAATTACGAAATGTCAGCGATGTATTACGGACACACTCGCTGGGGAAATAAGTAAATGCAATCAGAATATTGACAGTCCATACAAAATACTAATTTGCTTCTTTCAGAAACAGTTTTTTTTAATTAAACAATAAGTATTTGAAATGAGAATTATGATCAATCAGTTAATTGTAGACTTGTAACAATATTTAAATGTTATATTCTGTAATGGAAATATCATGTATTTTTCTTTTTTTTTTTAGAATAAATGGGAGTTTAAGTAAGAAACACTTAGTCTGAATGAATTAATTTTAACACGTTGCTTCACTTACAAAAATACATTAAGCGTTTTTCTTAAAGAATGCAATAGATAACAAATGTACTATATTTTGTATTAAATATTATATATACCCGTACCATCAGAAACTTTCGTGTGATTTTGTACATTATTTATATTCATACAAGAGGTAAAATGTTTAGGAATCATTTTGTGTCATTTTGGGATACGTGTTTGCCAACATGAGTCGCACGTGTATCTCTTTTTATTTGTTTGTTTGTTTACTTGGTTTATACGCTGACTTGAACTTATTTATGTCAATTATGTTCATACCTCGGCGGTCAGACCACCAAATAGATTTTCCTTGATAACTAACCAGTAGATACAAGTTTCTTTGCAAGTGACTGACTCCTATTCTCAGCGGTAAGAGACAAATGGCCATCAGACTTAATGTCCGAAATCAATCGTCATAGATATGTTCTGTTATATAAATGCAAAGCTAAATTAAATCTGAATTTATTTTCTGTCAATGTCAATTTTTAAGTATATTAAGTCATAGCTAGTCAATTTACAAAGTTTCTGTCACTGAAGTTCACTTCCATTCATTAGAATAAGAGGGTGCAAGTGACTTCATGTTCATTTTGAAATATACCTAGCATTTTGAATATGGCTTCTTAATCTAGTCCTGGACAACCAGCTGTTAAAGCGTGATGTTTATTAAATATTTCTATTTATGTCAACAATGTTAACGGCACATGATGCCTCAGAAATATTTTTTCTTCTATTTCTTAAGAAAGAAATGTCAATATGTCTTTAATGATTTTTAAGTAATGAACTTTAAAGCATGTTAGATGTTAAACAGCTGGAAAAGTAGCAGTGAACATGGCCTTATGTGTCGCAAATGTACAAAATGTAAGCAAAGTAGTATTATGTCTTCCAAACAAAACTATAATTCATAATATTATGTTCAATTTGCGTAGAGAGCAAATGATGCAAATGATAGCTAATGTTTATGGCCAATGAGTATATATCCTTTGTATATTTTATCAGTAACAATACACCAAAAATAAACAGTTTTTTTGTGAAATAACAATGATAGCATTTCTGAAACTGAATAGGCCTTTAATAAAACAGTTATTTTCATGTAAAATATCAAACAAAATATTGGTAAAAGAAAAAAATCACTATTTCTGTACAGTATAATATCTGGTCAACCTGTCTTACTTACAAGTATGTACATAGAAACGCAGCAAAATGATATATGTACATCCAGATGTTACCATACTCGAGTATGCGGAACTTGTTCGTAAAAAAAAAAAAAAAAAAAAAAAGTGGGCATAAAATGATATTTGAATATGTTTTCCATGATGCATTTTAACTGCTAAAATTAAGTCTAACTTTTGTTTATTTCTATGGCGTTGTATAGATGAACAAGTAATAAATACACAAGAATCTTTCCTGTGCTGTATTTGTTTGTTATGCGTTTAGCGTTTCTAACGATTCAGTTTACATTTGAGCCGCGTCACGACAAAACCAACATAATGGGTTTGCGACCAGCATGGATCCAGACCAGCCTGCGCATCCGCGCAGTCTGATCAGTATCCATGCTGTTCGCTATCAGTTTCTTTACTTGTTATAGGGTCTATAAGCGAACAGCATGGATCCTGATCAGCCTGCGCAGATGCGCAGGCTGGTCTGGATCCATGCTGGTCGCAAACACATTATGTTGGTTTTGTCGTGACGCGGCTCATTTGATTTATTCTTATTATGTTGATGAATCGATTTATCATCAGTTTTTAACTTTTTTGTTCATTTATTCATTTTATTATCTTGTTTTCTGCTTTCGAGTTTGCTTAAATGATCTGAAAATATGTCGGATAAATTTGCATAATTAAAACATTAAAAGTTTGATTCCAAAGGCCATTAATCATTCTGTAGAAAAATGACATTTTGTTGAAGTGGAAAAATACCCGACCGATATTTAACAAAACTATTTGAAATCAATATATTGCATAAAACATCTTCACACAATATTTCAATATTACATGTAAATAATACATGTCCGAAAACAGAAATTAATGTTGTTGTTGTTGTTGACATACAGCCACAATTACTTTTTGCAAATTGTTTTCAATTTCAAACAACAACAACATCAACAAACAACTTTTTTGAAAAAAGATAAATGTACTTTTGTTGTTGTTTTAATGGTAATTTTCTTATTGCCAGTGTGTGAGGTAATACTTAGTATATAAACAATATAATTATACAAGTTTATACATAAAAGATAATAAAGATTTAAAACAAGAAATAAAACAAGGAGAATAAAAACAAGATATGTTCATTTTCCATAAATAAACTAGTTAGGAACGACACACATATTCCTTCATGTTTAATTGGTTTTTTTACATTTTAATATGTTGAAAACTTTAGAATGCTTATTTCTTAAAGTCATCAAAATACTTTTTTTATAATATGATATTATTTTCATCCTGCAAAAAAGTCTTCGTTTCATTTATAGTATAGTTAAAATGATTTCTTTTTCCTTTTATCAAGCTCGGCTTTTAAAAGTGATTTGTTTTGAATAATCACTAAAAATCCATTTTCGGCAAGTAATATTAATCAAAATAATTAGATAAGTCTTGTATTATTATAAAATTCGTTCATCGTTATTATTATTTTGTCATCAAAATTATCACAATTTTGATTATTATCATGAACTTATAATGACGATAACTAACATGATAATTGACTTTTTATAATATCATGTAAATAAATGATAATAATAAAACTAGGATAAAAATGAAGATAACATTGGAGATAATAATAATGATAATTATAATAAAATTACTAAAATAATAATTAAAATGATAATAATGATAATAATAATAATGATAAAAATAAAAGTAATAATAATAATAATAATAATAATAATAATAATAATAATAATAATAATGATGATGATAATGATGATGATGATGACGATGATAATGACGATGATGATGATGTTATAATAAAAATAAAGATAATAATAAAAAAAATAATAATAATAATTATTATAATAATGATGATTATGATGACGATGATGATAATGATGGTGATGATGTTATAATAATAATGATAATAATAATAATAATAATAATAGTAATAATAATAATAATAAAATAATTTATAACAATAACAATATAATAATAAGATGATGATGATGATGATAACGACAACTATGATGATGTTATAATAATAATAATAAAAATAATAATAATAATAAAAATAATAATGATAATAATAATAATAATTATTATTATTATTTTTTTATATAAATAATAATAATAACGACGACGACGATGACGACGACGACGATAACGGAGTTACCTCTTGGGCTTCAAAAAATAAAAATAAAAAAAAATGACGACGACGACGACGATGATGATGATGATGATGAATTATAAGAAATATTAACTATAATAAGTGGACTAATAATGTTAATCAAAATAATAAGTTATTAAATAAGTATGCTTTAACAATTACGTTACGTTAATGTATATATTAAGTATTAATACTGATAATTGGTGAAATATTCAAAGTGATAATAGTACATTTTTTTCTATAATAATTCAAATCATAATTTATCAGGATTATTTCATGTTAAACACATGCTTACATAATTCGCTAATAAGAATCAAGCAAAGAAACGACATTTTAAACCAATTCTTACACCTCATTTAGCAATATTTACGTTTTAATACCGCTTCCTTGTAACAATAATATCTATTCTAAAAATAGTCATAGGTAGATCGACACGAACTTTTTTTTCTTTAGTATAATAAAGACACTTTAACCTATATAAAAAACAACAAAAATCAACTTACCACATCAAAAAGTATAATTCTTGATATATCCGTAACCTTTCTTTATCAAACTGCGAAAAAAGAAAACTATCTCGCGTTAATTTTTTTCTTCTTTTCTTTCTAATTCCAAACACTATTTTAATGAAAGAAAACACTTTAATTTACTTCCTTTAACATTTGAATACACACGAGTTAAACTTTAATTCCGGAAACATTAGTCCCTTTAAATTGAATCCGTTCCTCCGAGAATTACCAACTGTAGCCTTATAGAGATCATCCGTGTTAGGAAATGCCGTAAAAACGAAGTAGAGTCGCGAGTTAGCTTTCCATATATTGATCTGTATATGACAGGCGCTTGTTGCCGCAAAAGCTTTCAATAACCAGTCTTTGTATACGCGCGAAACATCTTTAATATTTACTGATTGAGTGATGCCACGTTCTTTGTACAGGAGGTCAGCGATGTTTTGTCATATCAAAAAGTGTAGAAAATTGGCATTCAGAATAAAAAAGATCAATAACTTATCACGTTATCACTTCATTCCGCGGCTTTTCGATAGTTTATATATATACCGCGTATTACGGTTTATGTTAAATTTGATAACAGAATGGTTTTATTTGAATTGATGCTAAAGCGAAAAAAAATAATTTGAAACAGCTAGTTTTAAGAATATTTTCACTTAGTACTTTAGTTTTAATTGTATTTTTTAAAGATTATTTATCATGTTTCCCAACATTAATATATAGATAGCGGTAGGAGAAATAATGTATTATCATTTTGTAGGCCATTACACCTGGCCAAAGAAAAGCAAATTGTATTCAAAGGTTTCTCGTGAAATACAAAAATAAATAAATAAATAAATAAATAAATAAATTAATTAATTAAATTAAATAAATAAGTAAATAAATAAATAAAAAGATAAATAAATAAATAAATAAAATGAATAAATAAATAAATAAGTAAATAAATAAATGAATGAATAAATGAATGAATGAATGAATAAATAAATAAATAAAAAACATAAAAAATAAATAAATAAAATGTATGTATAAATGCATGAAAAAATATATTAATCAATCATTAATCAACAAACAAACAAACCAACAAACAAACAAATTGATAATACATGTTACATAAATCAAGAAATAAGCAGGTATTTTTTAAAATCTATTGATTCGATTTTGATAAAAAAAATGGAATTAATATTCATAATATCCTCCGGATCACGGCTGAAGGACAGTTTTAATTTGGAAATTATCAGAGCACAGTTCAGCCACCGCATCTTTTCAGGATAGGCTGTCAAGCAGTTAAACAGTACCAATTATTTTCACTTTCACAAGGAATTAAATATATGTGCATACCAGAGCTGTGGTACAGTACAGTGCGATATATCTTACGCTTTAACAATTGAGCTAAGCGGCGGGTGGTCAACCAATAATTTAACTATTTCCCCTTCTTTTTTCACTAGTTCCCCGTCTTTTTAACCTGAAGCAACCCATTCAAAGTTAAAAGGCTTTTCAAATTAAGAATGAAAAATAAAGAAAGAAAGAAAGAAAGAAAGAAAGAAAGAAAGAAAGAAAGAAAGAAAGAAAGAAAGAAAGAAAGAATAAAGTAAACTAAAATGAAATAAAATAAAATAAATAAATAAACAAAAAAGCTACATGTACCTACACTATAGAACCGGATGTATAGACGGGTTTAGCCTCAAATAGCTGCCAAAGACTAATTTATTCCGGTTGGAAAATTCCACCAATCCTTGAGGACTCTGTGTGTGTCAGAATTTATTAGCTTGTTCTTGTTCTTGATAACTATATAGAGGATATTTGTTTGTTTGTGTGTAAGATGAAATAAAATTACATCTTACACAATAAACAAACAAATTTTCTTTTTATTTTATGCTTAAAACAAGTTAAAACGAAATTTCCTTGATATTAACTATGATATTAAAATCTGTTTCCCCACTGGTAGCCTTTATTATGTACATGTATTGGTCGAATTTCTCATAAAATACAAGAGGTTTTGGGCTGAGAAATAAGTTCGATAATCAACGGTAAAAGGCGGTGATACTATTCATTTCATTAAAAAAATATGAATGATCGATTGTTTTAATAATAAAAACAAACAATGATAGTAGGAGAAAGAAAGATTATTAAAAAAAGAATTGTCAATGACCAATAAATGTGTGATTATTTTTTAGTAAGTACTATTTTATTTCCGAAAAAAATGACAAAAGGAATAAATAAATAAGAAAAAATAATAATAATAAAAAAAAACAAAAAAACCGGGTGAAAAGAGAGATCGATGGATGGGTGTTCTCATGAACTTATATTCACGTGGCAAGCTCCGTTATTATAATACATATTTTTAAATTTACTTTCTCATATTGAAATAAAAAAATCGTATGTCTGGTCAGTGTTACTTATATTATAATAATTAAAACATCCAAATTCATATGACTGGTCAGTGTTTATCAAGTAAATAGGTTCAATTTGCATGAAATACTGTTTATTTATTCTCCTTTATTCTGCAACATAAAAGTCAAAATACCCGGTAAACAATGAGCCATGCAGTATTTAAGACATACAAGAAGATAGTATTGCTATTTGTTCACACCAACAGTGTAACATAGATATGCGACTTTCCTTAATTGAATACCGATCCAATACCGTTAAAGCCGGTGCTTGGGCCAAAAGAGGTGTTTATATTTCACATTTTCTCTCTCAAAGAGACCCAACCAAACCGTGTCTGCAATTTTCATACAATATTATTTTCATCGTTTCCATCTTTTCAAGCTTTAATCATGTAGAAACAGAAAATGTTCCCCTCGTGCATTTTTTCAGGTTTAAGCGGCAAAGTAAGTAGAACCACTGACCTTCCGTTAGATCGCTGAAATTATTAAAAAAAACTAGTAACTACCCAACAGAACAAATTAAGTAATAAATTAATTGATTACATAAATTTCATATTCTATATGCCTAATAGCAGATCTTCGTTTTTGTTAAGATTATTTTCAGATGTTTCCGTTTTACAAGAATTGATTTATGTCCTAATGTCCTGATTTCATTCAAAAGCACGTGTTGATTGCATAGTATATGGAAAACCTATCACCACATTCGGCAACTGTTGACTAGCACCTTATCCAAGAATGTATTAAGAGATATATCTTGGGAGAATTTGATAGTAATTGCGTGAACATCTACTATAAATAACTAGAAAAAGAACAGAACCCACAAAGAACGTACTTAACGGCAAAAGTAAACTGCTTCAGACTCGGTTTGATTAACCCTGTCATCGGCGGTATTAACTAGTGGTTTACGAACCGTAGCACCGTCCAAAGCAACATTTAACAATTAAACATGAATGTGATAATAAATGTATAAAAATACGGATAATTATGTTTATACATGTTATACGGCGGTTATGATGGAACCTTCAATCTAACTTGCAATGTCATTCCATGAAAGGTGGCGTATAGTCTCCAACTAGAATAAAGCGTGTACCTTGCTCTGATGATGGTAATTTCTTTGTATAAACCAACGATGCAATATAACCGCTTTGTGTACTCTTACTACATTTTCTTTTAATAAACAACTTTTATCATCAATCCTTTGAGGAAAGGCACAACGTCAGTCTGTGGTGGTCCGTACATTAGCATGTTTGAAGATGATAAAGTGAACACTTATCGTATTGTCACGTAGAAATGGCGGACTGTAACATGATGACCTTTAGTTACAGTGTTTCCAAGTACAAAACATTGAAAAACCTGGTATCAACTTATTAAAACAATTTAGATGCTCTAGTGACATTAGAAAAGATCACGCACTCATTGATCTAGTTTTACTTTTCGAAACCGTCGGCTATTTTACGGATGGCAAAGAGTAACGATTTTTCATACGCTGATTTTCAACGCAGTTTATGTGGCAAAAATGTACGCTTTCGCGACATGTGAGTTTGTTTGTAGTATCGATGTAACAATATATCATTTGAATGCTCCTAGCAGAACGTAAACATCAAGCAGTTTCATATTATTTACTTAAATATCTCGATAGATAAATATATCGCATATTTCATATCCCCTCTTGGAGTTATTTGATCGGAAAATCAAATCATATGCTTGCACTAGTTTAAATGACCAGTGTCTTGATTTCATTAATGATTGAGTGTAGCATAAACTAGAGGTGGCATGTTTCGGCAATGACAATTCCGGGAAACTTTAAATGCACCCGATTGATAATACAATAGTCATGCTTTGCTTTTACTTTTCCATGTTAAAAAGTGTCCATCTTTAAATTTGGGCGAAACCATTCATCGTTTAAGGAACATTTAAAATAATATATTGACAGAAGTGGGCATGCCTTTGGGTAAAGTGTTGCCGCTACTTCTAATAGATTAATGATGAAAGGATGCTTACCACGTGAAGGAAACAATGGCTTGACTTGGACGAGTATTGAACCCATAACATTACAAGTGGGACGCGTTAGGACTTCCCTCAACCAAGCCAATGATTTGCTTTTAAAAGGTTATGGATAATATATATAAGGTGTTCCGATTTTTTTTATTATAACTGTAAAATGCTCGCTCCAAAAGTTTCGACAGTTTAAAATGACAATTAATGCACATTATTTGAAATAATTCAAATCCGTATAAGCTTATCTTAAGTAAATGTACATAATAGGCAAACAATTTAAGTATGAACATCTTTTGTGCAACGATCTTACATCTTAGTCTTAAACATACCTTGACTGTCAAATATGGCCAATATAATTAAAAAAAACTATTCAACAACAAGTATTTTAGATATACATTGTATGTGTTTTACCGTTCTAATATTGTTTTAATAATAAGTCACAATACTGTGAAATCGTTTGCTATAATTAAAATGAAGAACGTTATTTACGGATAGATATACGGGCGTTCGTCCTGGATTGACATTATTGGGGTATTCCATGTTCATCTTTGATCCCCATAAGCAATATGATTAAATTGTATGATTTTGAAACAACGATGACCATAATTGTTACATTACGATGACATGGTGGTTAAATAATGATGGCACGACGGTTAAAACAACGATTGCACTATGTTTAAATCACTAGGTTATGGTAGTTAAACAACGATGGAACAAACGTTTCAACAACAATGACACGATATTTAACTCATGACAGCACGATGGTTTAATCACAAGGGTATGGTGATTAAGCAACGATAGCACGACGGTGAATACACCTTGGCACAACTTTACGAATTCCATATTGTTCTTTTATACTGGATATTTTTTAAGTTTTTAACATAATATGAATT